GTATATTTGTTTATTTTTTTAAGGGGTGGGTGGGTCTTGGGATTTTGGTTATGTTTATATTGCATTGTTTATATTGGCTATGTTTATATTGTATTGTATTTTATCTGTATGGATGTTAATGTTGTAAACTGCCCCGATTGCTTTGCAGAGGGGCGGGGTATAAATAATAAATAATAAATTATTATTATTATTATTATTATTATTATTATTATTATTATTATTATTATTCATTTAACAAAGCAGGCTGAGAAGCTTATGCTTTCTTTCACACTTTGAAACATGACATTTAATATGCAGTCTACCTATCTCATTAATAGAATTGTAGAGGGGATCCAGATGTCATTGTCTTCCACTTGTAACCCTCTTGTGCTTTCTTCCCGTTTCTTCTGTCTTTTCTTCTTTTCCACAAATTTGCAGTGAAAGGAAACACCACTAGTCTTCAAGATGCCAACAGCTGACTTTGGCATTTTCCTGTGTGAATTTTGTTTGCTGAATTAATCTCAGTGTTGACTGTGCTCTGGGTTCTCTGTCCTTTTCGGAAATGCATTCTAAGTACTTTGTTAATTGAGAATGAATTGTTTGGGGGATTTGAAGTTACTTGCTGTGACCGTTCTTTGGTGGAATGCCACTATCTATATCAGTTGCTGTTGAGTTACTATGAGTAATGGCTCATAGACATCAGATGTGGAAGAAAGAAAAAGTTTATCCAAATGGCCATCTGAGAATTGTTAGATTTCTTCTAGGGAATTTCAAAAGTGAGCAAAGATGAGACAACAGCTGCTATTTCTTTCCTGATATAAGAAAATGTATAAGGACACCACCCCTGGGAACATTTCTATGTTTATAAGGCCATTAAAGAGTTTATAATTTCTTTCAGATTCTCTAATGGGCTGTATAGTACTCATGTTTCATTGTCTTGACAGGGTTTGTATCTGGAATAAAATGCACAGCATAAATCCAACCTCAAGCGGAGTTGCTGACAGGAGACAATGAAATCTGAGCTGTACTAGTGTCAGGAAAGGCAAATGGAGTCCACAGTTCCCTTTGGGTCAAATTAAATGTTAAGGGGAATGTGTATTCACTGATATAAATCCACTTTTCCTCCTACAACAGGACTTCTTCAGGGATGCATGCCTCAACAGTCTGTCAAGATAAGCCCCTCTGACTTTCAGTAAACTAGCATAAAACAAAGCATGCTAAATACAAAATTCATGAGTAAGAAAAACCACATTCAGTGATAAATAGATCTTTCTGCACTTGAGGAAAAACCTGTACCTTAAAAAAAAGTTATATTAAGTGAAGCAAGAAGACAGGTAAGCCTGGATAGAGTCAGCCTATACAGCTCAAGGAATGTTGGTGGGTGGGGGGAGCTTTTCAGGGAGCAAATATAAAAAACAAGGCTTGTCTGTCAAAAGATCAGATAGGACTGGGACAGGCCAATAAAGAAAAGGGAATGGAATGGGGTCTGGAAAGGATTTTTTGGAAGCTGAGAATGGAAAAAGTTAAGAGAGATGTGTTATTTTATTTGAAATTGAAGCATTGCAATGTACTGTATGTGTAATCAACTAGATAATAATTTATTTCTTACATAATAAATCTTTACTAGTTTTATTATGTACAACTCTACCTGAATATTTTTATTTAAGAACTGATAGGAGGATAAGGTGAGCCAGTGTGATGTAGTGGTTTGAGTGTTGGACTACAACTCTGGAGACCATGGTTCAATTCCCAGCTCAGCCATAAAACCCACTGGGTGAATCCAGGTGGACCACAAGTTGAACATGAGTCAACAGTGCGATGCA